TGCGAGACAATCTTCTTTATTCTTCGGCTTTAAGTTTGGTAATGAACTCATTCAGCTTCGACAGTCTCTCCCTCACCGTAAGGCCCGAAATAAAGTTTTCCCATGAACTCGACATAGAATTCAGCAACTGGCAGATCCGCATGTTTTCATCCCGCTTGACTTGCACGCCCTCGAGTTCACGAACTAAGACTCTGAACTGCTGTATATGCTCAATAAATTTGCCTCCTTCCTTCAACTTCAAATCTGAATACTGCTTCATAGCCATCATCTTTCTTGTGAGGGAAGGTGAGGCATAATCAATCTCAAGTTGTTCATGAATCTTCTTTGCAGTCTTGAGGTGCTCATACTCAAGAGCATGAGAGTCATCCATGACCATAAGTAGCACATTTTTTTTGTAGAGTGTTTTTGCGCTCCCATTGAGCATGAGCTTCTCTTACAGCTTGCCTCTCATAAGCATTACCACTTGGGACAGGTGGGGTTGCTTCAGTAAGCATTGGGCTAAGTCCTTGCTCAAAGAGGACATAGCCTATTTTTCTTTTCCAACTAAGATAGTTTTCCCCATCAAATTTTCAAGTCTTCATAAATTCAGCCAAGAAACCTTTTGAAGTCATGTTTCTTGGGCCAAAAAAAAATCCTAAACTATGACAATAAATAATAGAAGCTATGATAGTAAAAAATCCTTTTATTACTATGACAATAAAAATCCTTTTATTTCAAATATTTGAATTCCACGTAAAATCTTTATTTTACTACCAAGAGAAATAGAAACTATCCAGGAACTTTAAATAACTTTTATAACAATTTTTAACACAATATAAGTCCTTGAAAAATTACAAAAATAAATAAATAAATAAATAAAAACTAATGGGAAGACTTACTGAAAGATGCCTAGAGTTACCCAACCAGGACATGGTACACCCCAAATCCGATTCTTTGACCAATGGCGCACTTTTCCTCCTTAAAGTGTTACTAGAAATTCTTAGATAAGGAAGCTTTGTAGGCTATCCTTCTTTCTCTAGGGTTTAAGAGAGCTCAAAAATAACCTAAAGTTTATACAGACCCTATGAGAACAAAATAGGGCTGATCGTAGGAGTTGATATCTTTCTAAGTTAAGATTCTCTCTTCTTCCTTTGAAAAATACAAAAAACCCTAGTTTAGGATTTCTCCAGGAAAAATAGGCCACCTCTAATTTTTTCTTTCAAGACAAAAAAATAGAAGAGGTAGGGAGAGGTGTCACGCCTCTCTTTTAGTTGAGAGATAGAGAGAGAGAAAGTGGTGTGAGAGAGAGAAAGAGAGGTTCCCCCAATTGGTGTGTGAGGGAGAGAGATCTTTTGGAGAGAGAAAAAGATCTAGTGATTTTGTCAAATGGGTTCAAACCCCTTCTTAAATAAAAGTAAATCTAGACTCCTAGTTTGAATAGGATTCTAGGTTGAATAGGATTCCTACCTTATCTAATTTCCAGCAAAAAAATTTAAGATAATTAGGAAATCTGTGGGTGAGAGATTAATCAGAGCCATCCATCCCAAAAATCAGCCATCATGATTTTGGGTGGAAAGATTAGAAACATTATCCCCTTACACTTTGACCCAATCCACTCCTATTTAAAATCAAACCAATCAAATTTAAACTTCATCATTTTAAATTTGAAATCAAATTTAAATATATTCTAGATAAATCTAATCTAGATTTCCCACAATATTTGGGAAACCATATCTCATTAGATTTCAAACTTAGCAAATTTAAATTTGAAATAAATCAAATTGAATGGGGTATGCCTATTCCACTAAAAGTGATGTGCCTCCATATTTGGGTCAAAGTGTAAGGGGATAATGTTCATAATCTTTCCATCAAAAATCATGATGGCTGATTTTTTGGATGGATGGCTCTGATTAATCTCTCACCCCACACATCTCCTAATTATCCTGAAAACTTTTGCTGAAAATTAGATAAGGTAGAAATCTTATTTAACCTAGAATCCTATTCAAACTAGGAGTCTAGATTTTCTTCTATTTAAGAAGGGATTTGAACCTATTTGAAAAAATCATTAGATCTTTTTCTCTCCAAAAGATCTCTCTCCCTCACACACCAATTGGGGGAAACTCTCTTTCTCTCTCTCACGCCACCTTCTCTCTCCTCTCTCTCTCTCTCTCTCTCTCTCTCTCTCAACTAAAAGAGAGGCATGCCACCTCACTCTAACTCTTCTATTTTTTTGTCTTGAAAGAAAAAATTAGAGGTGGCCTATTCTTCTTGGAGAAACACTAAACTAGGGTTTGCTGTATTTTTCAAAGGAATAAAAGAGAATCTTAACTTAGAAAGATATCAACTCCCAAGATCAGCCCTATTTTGTTCTCATAGGGTTTGTATAAACCCTAGGTTATTTTTTAGCTCTATTAAACCCTATAGAAAGAATGATAGCCTACAAAGCCTCTCTATCTAAGAATTTATAGCAACACTTTGAGAAAGAAAAGTGCATCATTGGTCAGGGAATCGGGTGTACCAAGTCCTGATTGGGTAACTCCAGGCGTCTTTCAGTAAGTCTTCCCATTATTTTATTTTATTTTTTTTTATTTGTAATTTTTCAGGAACTTATATTGTGTTAAAAATTGTTATAAAAGCTATTTTAAAGTTCCTGGATAGTTTCTATTTCTCTTGACAGTAAAATAAAGATCCTAGATTGTATTAGGGCATTGTTTTTATTTTCAACAATATATTGTGGCACATGTAAGTGGAATTCAGGTATTTGAAATAAAATAAAAATAAAAAAATTTGAATTTAATACCCTGAGTTCCACATAACCACATCTTACACTTGCCTAGTTGGATATAAGCTCCAAACATCAAGATCTTATTGCTATCAAATCACATATCAATTGTCATCCCTAAAACCATTGATTTCCTTCCAACGTGGAGCCTTAGCAATAACATCATCCCTACTTTGTTGAATCCTTTCTCAAGTACAGCCTAAGCAATCATGAGCTTCTTTATATCCCTTTAAAAGTCTTCTCTTCTATAAAACTATCTATTTTGGTGTTTGTCGAGATCCAAATGCCCTAAAATATCATCTACATGTATACATCCAAGGAGTCAACTGCTCTTCAAGAATAGAATCCTAATCAAATCATTACCTACTTTTACTTGAACTTTGGAATGAACCTCCCAGCCCCAAAATGTGTTCGAGAAGTAGTTCCTTATCCTGCACATATAGTGAACACATAAAAAGAGGCAATTAACTCCTATGTCTCCCTACACAAAAACTAGAAGGGGCCTTAATCCTTGGTTCCAAATTTGATTCATCATAACAAATCTAAGACAATGGCTCATCCAAGTGCATGATAAGGTGACCTACGCTACTCTCATTGATCTCCCTCAAAGACTCTTAGGGCGTGTTTGCAACTGGAAGTTTCGGTCCCAAAGCGAAAACTTCTAGCATGTTGTAGTAGTTACTACTAGGAATTGTGCAACATCCAAAAGCGCTCACTTCTCAAAAAATGAGAAGTGAGCACCTCCATGCCCCCCCATGGAAGCATGAGTTTCTCATGGAATGCAATGGGCGCACTTCTCATGGAAAGTTTGCCCATGTTCATTTTTTATTCTTATTTTTTTTTAAAAATCAACTCGAGATGAAATTTTAAGGTGATTGTTCCTCATTGGGGCACATCTATAAAAAAAAAATGTATAAAGAATAATTTGATAAAAAGGGCCAAAATGCCCCTAACATTTTAGGGATATATGGTCATTTTATTTACTTTTTTTTATATACGTTCCATAAGTGTGTATGGACGAGAAGCAATGAGAACCAAGATTTTAGCTCAGACTGATGCACAGAGAATTAAAATATTATTTAAATACTCATACATGCTCTTAGAACCTAAATACTCTAGGTTTGGAAACTTTCAGGTCTATCAAACGTAGGTTTTCATAGTCCCTTCGAATCCCAGGCAAGTTAGCAAAAATAGTATTTTCCAGATCCTCAAACAAGTTGTCAAACAGTGTATTTTCCAAAATCTTCCAGCTTCGAAACTCGAGAACTTCCCAGCTTCCAGTTGTTAAACACAACCCTAAAGAATGTAAGATTACTCTGGTAATCCCAGGCCAAAACTCTCAATAGAAATATCATACTGAGTATCAACAAAATCGACTCATAAAATTTTATTAAAGAGAATTTTGGCCATAGACTACTAGATCAATTTTATGAATCAAAGAAAGAAAAGTTACCAATCAAAAAACTATCTTAATTATCAAAAAAGGTTGTACCTTTCAAAGTTCCTGCAAATTCATCAAAGGAATTCTTAAAGTCTAAATGATTGAATATTATAGGGGAATGACCAAGACATTATGATATGTTTTCAGACCCCTCTATTACATTTCTGTTGAATTGTCAACAGAGTCCGTGGCTTCCCTGAACACTCAGTTTTTGATACATCGAGCAACAGAAAGAAGTCCAAACTGAACTCCAAATGCCACCCATGAAACCATCTCTGTTCTATTGTCCAAAGCTTCTCCTCTTAATAAATCAAGGAAACGCCATCCATAGAACAACATAAATTTCCCCACGATGAAATACAAACTCATAAAGAAAGTCATAATCACTCAGAAGGGGTAAAAGAAGACCAATTTTTCAGAAGGTCAACTTGTAGATCACCATGTAGCTTACAGAACGCCAATCGAAAAACCAACATAAATTGTTCCAAAACAAAAATTCAATTACACATTGCTAAATCACGAAATAGACAGAAATCATAATTAATGTTTTCCATAAGAAACTACAATCCAATAGCGAGAGAGATGGGGCTCCGTCCATGCCATGAGCTCAATTGGAAAACAAGCATAAAATAATAATGACTAAAACAATAATGACTAACATTTGCGATGACAAAATACAATATTGGGCGTGTCTGTGGGGATAACAATTAGCAAACAAGCAGAAGTAAAAGACATAACTGACATTTCCAATACTAAACTTTATAGAGAGAGAGAGAGAAAGTGAGTGAGAGATCTAACCAAGCCCTTGAGCTCCTTGGGCACACTCCCAATGTTATCAAACACCCCTAGCACATTAGCCACTGAAGCAAAGATGGGCTCAGTCACCATAGCCATGGAATTCTTCGTCTCATCAAGCCCCTGAACCACATGAACAACACCAGGGTGCCTCAACCTCACAAGCCTAGACGCGTCAGCCTTAACCAGCTCCATGAACGCATCTTCTGCAGCCTTTGAAAGCCCAGCTCGAATTCTAGCCTCTGAAACTGCTTTCTTATCAAGAAGCCATATACAAACCAGAGGGTACTGAGATTGCAAGGTCTTGGTTCTAGGTCGAGCTGAATAAAGCTTCCATACATGGCCATGGCCACCTGATCCCACCTGGTCTAAGAGCTCATAGTCTTGAAGAGCCTTGGGTCCAGTGACCTCCTGAACCGTAGTTTGAACCGTCTTCTCAATCACAGCTGCTGTTTTAGCCAGAGCTTGGGTTAGGGTTTTCATGTTCAGAGACATGGCTGCAACTTAAATGTAGTGGATTGGAGTGGGATGGAGAATTAGATATTGTGGTGATGGTAATCAGGGTTTCTTGTACAATAATTAGGGTTTCTCAAGTGAAATTCAGGAATTGGGGGGGAACCGAATCTGCGATCTGCAATGAGATCACTTCCTCCTCCTCTGTCTTCCCCTATGGAGCATGCGTCAGTCTTCTTCCTGTGCAATTATTTTTATTTATTTAAATGTTTTTAATGCAGAAACAAATATATAAGGGTGGCAATGGGGTGGGCCCGGGCAAGCCAGGGCCACCGGCCCTTGTCCATAGGGCCCGGATGGAGCTAGGCCTGGCTAAAAATTGAAAATAAATAAATAAATAAATATAACGTTGGAAAATTGGTGGATGAATTAGGGACAAAAGGAAGTATAAAAACTCGAAAACAAAAGCTTGATCTATTCTTGTTTTCGAGCGCAAGAGTGCTATCTCAAGACAATATTTACTTTTCTTCGATAGCATATTTTACGTGAACAAGAAGGGCAATTCGACCTTAAGATACACGAAAATAGAGAAATCTCTTTTTAAATTCCAAAGTTCTATGCACTCGAGCTTGAAGCCCACACATTAAGCATTGAAACGCACACACTGGGCACTAGAGCTTTGATGTTTTAGATAAAAAAAAAGACATGATCGAGTAGAGAGAGAGATGTTAGCCCAGTTTTGCTCCCCGGAATTGTAGAGAATGGTGTATTGTTGACAGGTTCAAAATGTATTCTTAGTATCTAACTTGTATGGGTAAAAAGGCTTTTGATACAGAGCTACAAGGAGGCTGCACATTTATTGTAGTAGTGGTTATATGCACTACCAACAACTACAAATTACATGCTTATTTAGTAAAATGGAGGCTACATGCACCACTAAACGCAAGTTACATGCCCTTGATGCTTATTGTTACTTGCCTCCATTTTATTAACGGCTAGATAACCATTGGATCCCCATATGAGCTGAGCTCACAAAAAGATATCGACCCACGGGCCCAACATGCACACGTGCTCAGGCGAGGGGTGCCTCATGCGCCGATGCATGAGCTATGATGGTTGTTGTTGCAAGTTATAACTAGTCTCCATTTAATTAACGACTAGATGACCATTGGATCCCCATATAAGGTGGGCTCACAAATAATTAACAACTAGATGACCATTGGATCCCCCATATGAGGCCGGCTCACAAAAAGATATTGGTTCACGAGCCCGACAAACACACGTGCTCAAGCAAGGGGGACCTCACGAGCACGACAAGCACACGTGCTCAAGCGAGGGGCGCCTCACGAGCTCGACAAGCACCTATGCCCTCCCACGCGCATCCGTGTCGCACGCTTCGTATGCTCCACACATGTATCATCTCTCTCACCTTGTACTAAGAGTATAAGGCATGTGAATGTCTACTCTTAAATACCGCTAAATTAACTATGTCATCTTCAATGTGGGACTCAAACCCACAGCTTTCTCTTTACAAAAACAGCTTAGAAATAAACTACATTTCCATAGTATTTTTAAAACAAAAAATAATAACATTTTCCTCCATTATTTCAAAATAACAAAAAAATATAATAAACATATTATTTACATACCATGAAAGTATCTTTTGATTTTGTGGCAGCATATATCTTTGAATCTAATTGCTTATTTAACAGACCGGTAGTATAACTCACAAATAATAGTCAACTCCAGTGTCTTTTTAGCTGCTAGCACATTTTGGGCTTTGTGTTTATATCCCGATTTCATAAATGCTCTAAAGACAAGTCCCATCTCATACGAAGTGGCATCACTTCCATACTTACATATCAAGAGTGCCCCTATATATAAAATACTTTGGCTTCATCTATATATATATATAGGAAAAGTCTTTCCAACGCTTATAGGCGAAAATGAATACTGCTTTCGCCTAACCTCATCACTGTCTAAATTTCATCGTTCAATCACGATTGCTCGGTAGTGTTTTATTTTTCATTTTTTTCTACAAATCGAAATAACCTGAAATTTGGAGGGTATGTATATCTTACTGAGGCGCATCTAATAAAAATATAAAAACTATTATTTGTGAAAAATAAATTAACTAAAATACCCCTGAAACTTTTCGGGGCTATTTTGGTCAATTTTTTCATGTAAAATATTTTTTTTATAATTTTCAAAGATTCTCCTATTTTTGATGAATACAAGTTCCAAATTTCAAATCATTCCGATTTGTAGAAAAAAAATGAAAAATAAAACACAATCTGACAATCGTGATGGTAGTAGGCGAAATCACTGTTCACTTTCGCCTATAGGTGTTGCGTAGTGTTTTCATATATTTATATATATATGATATAATGTCACCATGCCATCATAATATAATGAAACCACAATCCTAGAAAACCATGTTTGTAGCATTTTTATGACTTAAAATTTTGTACACACACTCTCTTCATCTCAATAATCGATTTTCAAAAAAAAAAAATTTAATTTGCACCCTATATATGGTCAAATTGAGTCCCCTCCAACAATGACTCTAAGCCGTCCATTTCATGAATTTTAAGATTTAGGCCTTTATGAATTCTAAATTAAAATTTTCTTTTTAAATTTTATTATCTAAAAAATTTGCAAGAAAAAAATAGCCTTCTAGGGCCTAGATCTACCCATCTCACTAAAATAAACAGCCTATGTTAATTGGGCTAAAAATCCACTCTCTAAGTTGTGTTTTCAATTTTTCTTGTTTGTGCTTGTTTATGAAAAGAGTGAATATTTTAAAAGTCTGTAGATAACATTAAGAGAACCTACTAACATACACATCATCATTAGACCTATCCACCATATGGATTTTTAAAGAATGGGTGCTTACAAAAATTTTGTCACATAATAACCAAACTAATCATACGTACAATTTATTTTTACCACATTAAACCTATAATTTTGAGGTTATAAAAGTCTAGGTTGGGTTTCCATTGTAACTGATTACTCAATGGACTCTAGCCTTATTCGTTTTGATATCTTACTAATGGCATCCCTTGCAAGACCTTTTGTTAAAGGATCAACTAAATTTTCATTCAATCTTACATGTTCTACACTAATTACTCCATCTCCAATTAACATTTAAATGGAGTTATATCTTTTTGAAATATGTGTAGCTTTTCAATTATATACATCATTATAAGCTCTCACAATAGTAGCTTGATTAACACAATATATTATGATCATAGGTATTGGTTTTAGCTATATTAGAATGTCATATAACAAGCTCTTTAGTCATTTATACATCTTTACTGGCAGAGTCTAAATTAATAATTTCTGGCTCCATAGTAAAGCGCAAAATATACGCTTGTTTATTTGACACTCATGATATTGCACCACCAGCTACTGTATATATCCATCTGGATGTTAATAGTGAATATTTGATTTCTTTGTTCCAATGAGCATCACTATACCCTCCCAACACTCTGTGATAACCCGCATATTTTATGTCATAATTGATAGTTCCTTTCAAGTATTTTAATACTCAAGATATAGCATCCAAATGCTATCTACTTGTGGAACTAGTATATCTACTAAGTTTGTCTATCGCATATACAATGTCAGGCCTCGTGACAGTCATTACATAAATTAACTACCAATTACCCTAGCATATTCAATTTAAGATATATATCTCTCATCATTTTTCTTTAACTTAATATGATATTCTATAGGGGTATAGACCGACATACTATCAACATGCTCAAACTTTTTGAGCATTTTCTCAATGTAGTGAAATTAAGTTAGAATTAATTTTTTTATTTTCTCACTATTTTGATACCAATTATCACAACCCTCTCCTAAGTCTTTCATATCAAAGTTAGATGTAATGAATCTTTTAATTTCCTCCACAAGTTTTAGATTAGTGCAAAAAATAAGCATGTAATCTATATATAAACAAATTATGCCTCATAAGGAATTTAATTGCTTATTATCTACACATTTATCAACTTCATTTCTCTTAAAACTATTTAACATTAGCACATTATCTAAATGTTTATGTCATTATTTAGATGCTTGTTTTAAGTCCATAAAGATATTTAACTAATTTACAAACTTTATTCTCATGATCTGATATCACAAATCCTGCGGGTTGTTCCATATATTTTTTTTTTAAAATAAGTCACCATTTAAAAAAGTGATTTTTACATCCGTTTAATGTATGACAAGATGGCTGGTAGAGGCTATTACTAAAAGCAATCTAATAGTAACAATTCCTGCCACAAGTGCATGCGTCAAAATAATTAATTGGGTAAATTGCAAACACTCCCCCCCCCCCCCCCCCCCCTCCCAAACTGGACTTTTTCGCACTTTACCCTACCTAATTTTTCCTAGCAAATAACCCCATACAGAAGTTAATTTTTTTTGGATGAAAATACCCTTCCCTCATATAACAAATTATTTTCGTTGGAGAGGGTGGCCCGGCAATTTGAACAGCCAGTTCGGCGATTATTTTTGTTGGAATGGTTGGTCTGGTGTTTCATGGTGGCGGTCCAGCATTTCATGGTGGCAGTCTGGCGATTATTTTTGCTGGAATGGGCAATGCGGTGTTTTGAAGTTGCGGTCCGACATTTGAAGGAGCAATCCGGCATTTTGATATGGCGGTCCGGCATTTTGAAGGGGCAGTCCGACGTTTTGAAGTAGCGGTCCGGTGTTGTACAAGTGCAGTCTGATGTTTCCTTTTATTGGGATCCAAAAATGATTTGTTACATGAAGGAATGGTATTTTTGTAAAAAAAAATTAACTTTTTGTATAGGGGGTATTTGCTAGGAAACATGATTTTTTGTGGGAAGTTGTTAGGAAAAGTTGGGTGGGGTAAAGTGCATAAAAAGTCCATTTTGGGAGGGTTTTTTGCAATTTTCCCTAATTAATATCTTCTTTTTGTTTAAATCCTTTAGCAACTAATTTTGCTTTATATTTATTAATAGAACCATCATAATTCTTTTTTGTTTTAAGATCTACTTATTTTCAAGTTTTATTTGTCATTATAGAATCCATTTTACTATTTATAGCTTCTCTCCAAAAATTTGCATATTGAGATGCCAAGATTTTAGTTAGTGATGTTGGATCTTCCTCCACATTTGAGATAATAGGCAATGAATTTAATATTTTATTTTAAATAACTTCAACTAGATAAATATAAAAATCCAGTCCAAAGTTATGAGATAGATCACCTCTAATTCT